AATACACACACCATACCTGATCTGTCTTGGTCACTGTTTGTTATTCAACATGACGCTGCTACATAATTTTCTCTACTGCTTTTGTCATATATAGTGCTAAATTATTTTTATATACATCCAAGTCTCAAATGTAAGCTTTAATCTTTAAATTTTATCATAGATGACCTTAACTTCTACAAATGAAACATATATGTGTACATTTATAAGTGTGTATGCTTTTACCTTGCTGACTCTTTCCACTCCAATTCATCCCCATATTGCTGTAGTGTGTCCATCTCTGTGAATATTGTAGGTGTTGGTGTGCTGTCATCCTCCCCAAGGATGTGACGAAGTCGCTCTGCAGCAGGTGAAACTAATCCAAAGACAGAGTCAGTTTTAGGTTTTCATTAATCGTTAGTATTTCCAGTGCAAAAATAAGCTAAACAATAATTCTACCATGGATTCTAGCATTTGATTTATGCATTTCTTTAAAGGCTTAAAACTACAAATTTCATCCAAATTGACTATTTAATTTTCACCTATTGGGCAGCAGGGTGTGAATCAGGTCTACATGCTGTATTTGTATCAACTTTGTGTTATGTTTTTTCTTTCGGCTTCTCCCTTCCTCAGGGGTTGTCACAACGAGTGAACTCGTATGAAGACTTGGCAATTGTTTTTACATCGGATACCTTCCTGACGCAATCACAGTTGGGGGTGATATATGGGTGGAAATGGCCTTGCTTAAGGGCCTAGAGTGGGGCAACACTTTAAGTTCACATTATGTTCCCCTGATTCACTGACATACACCAAAAATCATGGACTGGGCAAGAAGGGACTTAATCAGAAGAAACTAACAAACCAAAGATAACTAAAATGGAGCAGACCAGCATGTCTGCAGCAATTAATCCATCCATGGCAACAATAAGCTGCACTGGAGTGGAAGAGTGTCCAAGAGTGTTTTTTTTTTTTTTTTCCTTTTTGCTCTCGGTGAAGGCGGACTCTTTTCCCTCCTACTCCTTCCCTGCTCTGCTATTTGTACTGTGAACCTTTTTTAGAGCCTCTTTTTGTATATCTCCCAAATTGTAAATTATGGATCTGGTCAGCTGGTCTCTCAATGCAATTGATCAAATTTTCTTGACGAGAAGACAGGGCGAAGGAGAGCTCTCTTGCCCCGATGGGACACGGGCAGCCGAATACACAATGGATTCCTGGGGGAAGTGGAAGATCATGTGTGTGTCCGTCTTGTCAGTCAAGGACGCTGAAGATCTGTACATACAGTAATTCGATTTATGATAACAGGATTTCTGCTTTTTGGAGTTGGTGGTTACCTGGCATATTGACAAGTTTGGAAAATGTCAGCAGCTGTTCTGGCCATTGTAAGGCTGTCCTGCATGTGTGAAGGAATGTGCCGTGCTGTAAACGCTCAGACTCAAAGGCTGTGTGAGCTGAGCCATAAACTGGACGTGATTCTTGCTGAGAATCGCAGGCTACTTGTGGCTCCTGAATCTCGCTGGCGGGAAGGAATAGATCTCGGAAAAGTTGTAAGCTTGACTCAGCGTATGTGACCATAATTTGGCTGTTTGAAGTTGCTATGAGATGTACTAGCGAGACTATAAAGGCAGAAGGAAATTAACAGAACACGGCCTGACCCAAAGCAAATGCTGCTATCTGAATCTGGCTCCCCCAGCATCGGCCTTGGAAAGTTGACTATCACAAATTCTCCTGGATGTTATGTGAACAAGACACTCTGCACCTCCCCTCCCCTATCTGTTTTCTTCCCCAAGGACATGGACATATGTCAGAGCCCTACTAAGCCAGCTGATAAAGACTGCACCATCACTTATCTGGACTATGGCTGGTGGGGGCGATCTGGACAATGCACACAGACTACTTCCCCTCATATTCACTGTGTTCGCTGGCCTCCCTCATTTGCCCCCCCCCCCCCCCCCCCACACACACACACACACTGATGCAGCAACCTAGATAGATGTGAATGTGCCAGTGGCTCACTTGGGCAGCTTGTGCTGGGACCCCCACCCTCACCCACTACACATGCATATGTCTTTATGCCACCAGTATGTTGCTTTTTCTTGTGCTGAGATTTTGTTTGTTTGTTTGGGTTTGTTTTGTTGTTTGTTTGTTTTTTGCAACCTCACACTGTGTCCCATCAAGGACACAGTGTGAGATATGATTTTTTTATACCTCCCCATTTCCTCAAGTTTTTCTTTTCCTTATCATAACAAAAAGGGCAGCGCTTCACACGAGGCTGCAGCCTCAGACACCACCTTTTACCCATATTGTTATCTTTGGATGGCGTTACTGAAATGTAATTTTGTTGTGCTTCTGTGCAATGACAAAAAAGGTTGATTCTGATTCTGATTCTGAAGACAAAAGTATGACAAAATATATATAAATAATTTGTGTTCCAAAAGACATATTGAAGTCAATTTGAAAATGTTTGTTTGTTTGTTTGTTTATTTGTTCGTTTTCAGAGTTGGACCCAGGAATGCAGACAAACACAGAGGCACTCAAATAAAATGTAAAAATGCATTAAAGAAAAGGGAAGAACAAACGCTGATGTGGCAAAACAATAACAACTCAAGGAGACACAGACAAGAACCAGACTGTGCATAAAAGAAGAATGTCCGATTGCAGGTGAAGTGAGAACTGGAAGGCTAAATGGACTGGGACTGATGAGGAGACTAGAAACATTTGGCTTAAAAACAACAGGGGAGAGGTATATGTGGGTGGGACAAAAATGGAAACTAAAGATTGACTATAGCTAAGGGGTAGTACTGAGAGTGACTGGACAACACAGAAGAATGAGAAAGAAACCTAACTAAAAGATAAAACATAAAAAAATTAAGTAAAAAAAAACAACACAAATCATATTTCATAATGAAGGAAATAGACGCAGGTAGTTTTTGTTTTTTCCAATTGATCTCATCAAAAACTGGATAAAAACAATTGTATCGTTACCTAATTTTTAATAGTTGTTCCTTTCTGAGTTAGATTGCCATGTACTTCCTTCAAAAAGTCGTAATCATTTTTGTTTGCCTCAGATGTTCATTATGTTCAGGGCTTTTGTGCAAATGTAGCATGTTTACAACCTAAACCAAACATGAAAGCATAAAAGCTTACAAACCTATGAGAATATTTTTATATATTTGCCAAAATAATGAAACATAAACAACAAAAATGAAAGCTATGTGTGTGAAATAAAACAGTCTACTTTAAAATGTCCCCCGTAATCACAAACAAGAGTTAAGTCCTTTGATGACAATCAAAAGTCATTCCTAATCAATCACCGGACAACTTTTTCTAATTTTATTCTCGACAGATCAATCTCCATTAACATCCTGTGCCTAGAGGCAGCGTTCGCTTACATCCTATTTATGAGCATGCATTTGTTCTCAATGTGTCTCTATCTGCAGATCTTCAATTGGTCAAGTTGTTTTTCCGGATAAAAATATGAGATAATACATTCTAAAAAAACATGACACATATACAGGTCCTTCTAAAAAAATTAGCATATTGTGATAAAGGTCATTATTTTCCATAATGTAATGATAAAAATGAAACTTTCATATATTTCAGATTCATTGCACACCACTGAAATATTTCAGGTCTTTAATTGTTTTAATACTGATGATTATGGCATACAGCTCATGAAAACCCAAAATGCCTGTCCCAAAAAATTAGCATATTTCATCCCACCAATGAAAGACAAGTGTTTTTAATACAAAAAACGTTGGTTACGTACTGTAACCCCAGATTCTATGAGTGTAAGCGTAGCCCTTTAAGGCCTTCGCTAGTGGGTTTATCCCGTTATGCGCAGCATAAGCACTGAAAAAATTTAGTCCACGCCCACCTGCTGTGTGGGCCCCACCCGGTCCGTATAAATTACGTTAAGAGCGGGAAATCGGCTCCCAAAATAGCTTTGTCTTCAGCCATTTAGGAGCCAGTGAGGCCCGACGCTTAAAGGGCTACGCTTATACTCATAGAATCTGGGGTTACAGTACGTAACCAACGTTCTATTTCGTATAAGCTTCGCCCTTTAAGGCCTTCGCTAGTGGGTTAAGGGCGAAGCCGATGTGGTCCTCGCCTCACTGGGTCCATTCGAAACCCGTATGAAGCAGAAGCTTGCCCAAAAAAGTCTAATCACTCAGCTCTCATGTGCATAATTACGCATTGCGTAATTATGTGAGCCATGCACAGACGCATGTTGTGTAACTATGCATTCTGAATGCATGAACGCCCCGGAAAACATCAACGGGGAGGGAAAAACGTTGAAAAGAGCCATGAACCAACCGGTTTACGGCTGAACCATATAAACAGATTAATAACAACAGGAGAGTTGATTATTAATCAAAAGAGCTGATTGATAACAATAGTCATGAACTGATTAATGGCAATAGAGTCAAGTAACAGTCACAACTTGTGATTGATAACATCTCACACTGTAATGCATGCAGACAGATGTGAGTAAAACGGAGTTCCATGAAACAACAATGTTCATTCTGTAACACTAAGGACAGAATGTGTCATGGAACAGACCATCACATCACCTAAATAAAGGCGAATAATGAGCAGGGTGTTGACCACGCAGCCACAGTGCAAAAAATATCCTGCATTGACATACCATTATGTAAAGCAGTCGAAAATGCGATACCCCTGATAGAATGAGCTCTGAGGTTGACAGGAGGCTCTAAATCTGATGCTCTGTAGGCTTCAGAAATAGTCTCACACAGCCAGTGTGACAAGCGCTGGGTGGATAACGGGCGACCTGCAGATGCATCTCTATAATGCACAAACAGGTGTTGAGTTTGACGCATTACAGCTGTGCGCGCTATGTAACACGTCAACGCCCGCACCGGACAGAGAAGATGGAAAGATGCTTCATCCTCTGATCTGTGGGGGGTGGGGGGGTGGAGAAACCCCTCCAACGATATCACTCTTGATTTAAAAGAGCTTGTGATGTTTTTAGGCATAAAAGCTGGGTTTGGTCTTAAATCAGCTGAGCTGCCCATCAGCCTGAATTCTAAGACATGACGGAGCAACAGAGAGGGCAGATAAATCACTTACCCTCTTAGCGGATGTTAAAGCCAGCAGCAGGGCTGTTTTAAGAGACAAGAATTTAAGTGAAAACCTGATCCAGAGGCTCAAATGGAGCTTAGATCAGGGCTCGCAGGACCAGCGTTAAATCCCACTGTGGAGCAAGTGGGCGTGAAGCAAGCCTGCGTCTCTGTACACCTTTTAGAAAAAACGCTTCATCAGCGGGTGATTAAAAGCTGTTCTGTCTCCGAACCCTTCGTGGCAGGAAGAGATGACTGCAGCGTACGTTTTAAACGTACTGAATGCCAAC